TTCCGGATAATCGGTTCCCTACTGTATTAGATATTTTAAAAATCAAATGAAATTTCAAAGCAATTACGATGGAGAAAGGGATTAAGAAACATAGATTTACAATAAAATCTGTGCAATCACATATTTAATGAACTTTCACTCATTAATGTGTGAAATGGTTTTAGTCTTAAAAGTTTAGTATCCAATATAATATAAATTGCATTGCATATGTACCTTGTTCTTGCAGTAGCTGCAGAAGTTGCTGCTTCTGTTGTCTCATCTGTGTCAAAAATGCTTCAGCTCCCAATTTTCTTATTTCCGGTATGATATCAATATAAGTGAGTTGAATGTTTTGTTGCAAGTCGTTCTCATAAAGGGAACCCAATAAACTTAAATTATGAGCCAGGTACATGCAATTGTTATGAAAAATGGCTGTAAATTAAGAAATAACTATCAAATAGGCATAATTAATAAATAAGGTAAACAAAATGATATTTTGTTTAATTTTATACCAGTTTGTTGAGGAATATTAGCTATTTCTTCTTTATGGCAGATAGGTACAACCGAGCAATATAATTCACATATCCCCCTTGAAGTGTAGTATAACTTTGGAGTATAGATAGAATCAATGTTTTTCGCTTCATCTTTAACTTCATATAGCAACATAACTAATTCCTTCATTGATTCACTGTGAAAAAATAAAAGGACACTTTTAATTATGTGTTGCAAAGACACTTTGCAATTAGAGAGTAATCAAATCCATTTACAAAATTAACGTAAAATCAGTCATTTAAGTCAGTGTTCCCAACCTCCGGTCCATTGATCAAATGGTAAATACGAAAATCAATGTTGATGATATAAACCGCATGAGCAAATCAAGACATTGAATTTTAAAATTGCATGAATACGAATTGCTACATAGGTTTTTAAAAAGGAGTAAATACGAATCACAATATCGGATTTTTAAATCTCGTAAATAAGAATCGCAACATACAATATTCAAATCACGTGAATAAGAATCGCAAAATGCAAATATGAAAAGCTACGTTTGATATTA